CATTCTACCCCCTGTACGGAATATGTTTCACTAATTATCAAATACCCTATATAAAAGCTGCGCAATCTGTACTTAAGAAATAGCAGTCCACAGATACGTAGTTTGCATGAAGTAACAGCGTGAAGTTCATAAAATTAGATTTAGATGTCTAATTAAAACATAATTACGATACAAAAATCTACATATATGTGTGGCGTGCGTGAGTAAGATATTGATGTAGTGATGTGTCAATGACACGTAATCGTCTATGTGTAAGATGTCTTAAGGATCCCCTTAATGAAATTAAGTTTATTAGACGCGTTTTTGCACGAAATGAACGAATCTGGCAGAAAAAAATTGTCGCTCTGTCTCACAAACTGAGATATTAAGTGTTAAAGTTGACGAATATTTAGGAAATCTGTCATACTGACTACATATAACTCGTAACTCGTTACTTGTAACGAAATTACAGTTACAAGTTACTTTTTTAGTAACTTTACTGGTAACTGCGTTACTTTCTTTTTTTGGTAACTGTAACGGTAACGTAGTTACATTTTTTGAATAACGGTAAAGAAATTTATAGTTACTTTTATACGATACTTTGCATACGATTAGATACGTAATTCTGTTATATAACAATTACATGTTATTAATTACGACAGTTATAAATGTAATTATAGAACATTGAGTGTTTTTATTTAATACAGGCGTACAAGCTACATTTAGTTTAACTTAATCTAAACATCGTACACACTTTGTTTTAATTAAGTTGTGTAAAAAGCTTTACTCTATACATTTCTGTGTACATTTATGTTGAACAATTGGAAAACACCCTCTTTTGCAAAACTTCTGTTATATATTTTAATTATATTATAGCATTATAATTTCCTTTCTATCAAATTTGATTTACAGCTAAAAGTATAGATTAAGTAAAAATATAGCTGTATTATAATAGAGAGAATATGTGTATTTCTTAATTTTCTTTTTAATTTCTAACTTATATTGTGATTCAGATAGTCCTATACAATCCTATATAATCTTCTAGTTTTCTACAAAGTATTAAAAAATTCCTATACATAGTGTCAGTGTTATACATGTTATATATATATATATATGTATATATTACTGTATATATATATATATGTGTACGTATATATATATGTATGTATATATATATGTATATATATATTACGTATATATATATATGTACGTATATATATATGTATATATATATTACTTTTATTAACATTTTTTAAAAAATCCTACAAAAGTACATTTTCAGACTGATTTTTAAAAAGTAACGGAAAAGTATTAAAAAATTAACTTTCGAGTAACGATAACTATAACGAGTTACTTTTAAAAAGCGATAACTAGTAACGGTAACTTGTTACTTTTTTTTACTCGATAACGAGTAACTGTAATTTGTTACTTTTAAAAAGTGACTTTCCATTCCCTACATATAGCATTATGAGTATGCTTTCTTCATGTCCTGTGACTGTGACCTCTTGTGCATGCGTTTAGTCACTATTCCTTACAAAAAAAGTGCACAAAATTTAAAATTTAATTAAAAAATGAATTAGTTAAGTACTTATGTAATGTTTCCATTATACGTAGTTCTATTCTAAATAAATCATAACTCACGTGGACAGTGTGGAGTATGTGGACATTCCACTGTCCACATGAGTTATGATTTATTTGGAATAGAATTATATATAATAGATTTAAATTTCATACACACTTATCAATTAAATACATCAAATAATAACCAATAAGATAATTACTACGTGACCTATTCTAGACTGACTTACATATGTTCCTCCATGCCATTGATGTGACAGATTTCTTAACCTGAATAGTCGTCAACTTTAATGCTTAATATCTCGGTTCGCGACACTTTTTTCTGCCAGATTTGTTCATTTCATTCAAAGACGCGTCGATTAAATTTAATTTTATTAAAATCGGTAAGATTGCCTAGCTCCTTCATAATTACCATTTTTTTATATAAATGTAATAGACTGTGTATAATATAAGAAAATTACCATGAGGACATTGTGGATAATTTATAGGATTTCCCCATAAACATTCTATACCACGTATATCGTCCATAATTTTGTCGTGTAAATAATTCACAGGTGAGTTTAGGCACATTCACATCTTCTTAGTCTTAACTTGATAAAATGGCCTCAATTACGAACTGAGTCGATACGGCCAGCACCAAAGAACTACCGCCACAGGCGGCGAGTCGCAGAAACAAATTATGGCGGGCTCAAATCGCCTAGAGTCTTAAGCAGCGTCTACAATGCGGTCGCTGTGTCTTTAAGTAAAGTCAAGGTACATTTTCACGATGTCGCTCGACGCTCGTTTTCTGCGATGTGATGACGTCATGTAAGTCGCTAGCGACGTGAAATGTAGTTCGATTTTTCCAATTACGAGCGACATTAGTGAGCGATAAAGATTTGAACAATGAATAACAAAATGGTAAGTATAATAATATTGTTGATGAATTATTATGTCTTATATTATTATTATATTATATTATTATTATGTCTTTAACATTATGTCTTGTTTTACATGTATATGGTATATAAATCTGTTATTTTTAATCATATAAGTAATGTCAAGAATATTTTATATATCGTACGCAAAAAGCATCGAAATAAATAAATTGTTAAAATAAATTGTTGTAAAATAAATAATATTGTATAAGATATTTTCTAAAATATTTTTTGTAGTCTCGTGTTCAAACGTGTAGATTAAATGTGAAACCATATGTAATGAGGACGAAGTACCCACACATGAATGTCTTCAAGGATATTCTAATTTCATTACAGATGATAATTTGTACTTTTACCCTGTATTAGGTAGTTTATATATATATATATATATTTTACTTTAGTTATAATTACAAAAATTATTAAATCTGTTGTTTAATAATATTTTTAGAGGATGGAAAAACTATTGTTAGCAATAAAGGAAGTAAAAATGACCATATACCACGACGCTGAATAGATTTAGCGAAATTATATTGTATTTCGTAGAATATTAAAACGAAATTTTTAATATTAATAGTAAACGATTCGGCCTTTAATATGACCATCACCGGTAAACGAAGAAAAATTAATTTAATATATTGCTATTGTTAGAAGAAGCTTGATACAGGGCGTTGAAACAATAGCATCTGTACCTTTTCATGATGATAATCAAGGTCAGATAAATATAATAAATTCTTGAAGTTTTAAAACATTAAATTAAAAAGAAAAAATTGACTTATTGTACAATTTTAATATGTATAAATTAAATTATCTAATTATAATTTGTTCATATAGTTTCTTTGTTCTTATAATAAGTCATCAATGTCAATGAAAGTTATTTACAGTTGTTTACTGTCCTTGAATAATAACTTTAAACAATTTGGCTTGTTAGCTCTTCTTATTATATATATTTTTTAATTAAATGAGAAGATATACATATTATGTGTGTGCAGTGTGTGTATGTATACATTTCATTTTTTGTTTCAGATAATATTCAATCCATTAATAATAATAGAAATTCCAATTAAAAGAGCACAAAGGAAAAACTGTCATCTGAGGAAAAGGAGGAGATTGCTAATATTAGAAGTCCAATGCAGAGAACCACTATGGAATTTTAAATTACCTCTCATTCAAAGGAATTGCAGAATTACAAGAGCTTTGTGAGAAGAAGTTTCTAATGCTTTTAAGGCCACTTTCTGGGTTTTTTTGACATATTTTCATGATTTTTTTTCAGTAGTAAAATGTATTGAATCTAATCAAACTTTTTACACATTATATTAGTCACATATTCAAGTATATAAAAATATTTTTTTTTAATTTTTTCACGCATGCCCAGCGACAAAATGGCGGCTGCAGTGGACGTCGGAAAAAAACTTTCGGACACGATATCTCCAGTTAAAATCGTCTGATACAAAAAATCGGAAAAGATTCCTAAAATATATGTTAGTGGCTATAGCCGGAACTAGGATTGAACGTTTTGGGCATAAAAAAACAAAATGGCTGATTTTTGAATATTTTTACCCCTTTTTTACCACTAAAATGGTCTAAAAAAAGGGTTAAATATAAACGGAAAATTATGATTCTAGTTCGGACTGAAACTACACATGTTCGGAACAATTCCTGAAAATTTCAGCCCGATCGGTTAAATAGTTCTCCCAAAATCGTGTCCGGAAGGTCGAAAAACGTGGTTTTGAGAAAAACGCATTTAAAGTTTTGTATTGAAAATTGTTAGTATAATTATAAAAAAAAGTTTCTTACGCTCAATCAGCGATGCTCGTTTGAAGTTTGAGTGTCAGCTCCAATGCATCGTTCTAACAAATCGTCCGTCGTGAGATCTTCATAAGCTTTTTTCAGCAGAGGTTGAATTTGGTCGTCCAACGCGGGGGGTGCGCTCTCATAAGTACTAGCCTATAAGCGACTGTAGGACTTATCCTCGGTCGATAATCGACTTATAACTGTCTGTACACTAATTCTACATACTTAAGATACCCGAAAATGATGTTTTTGGAAAATCGAAAATTTCGAAAAAATAGACCCAGAAAGTGGCCTTAATAGTTAAATAAATATCTATTATTTATAAAATATATTATTAAAAAAAAAACAAATAAGATAAGAAAATTATATAAGAACATTTTAAAATGCATGTTCGCATCTCATTTGAAACAATGGATTAATCCAAAACTGTTTTCTAGCATAAAGTCGATCCCTTTTTTCTACTAAATCAAAAATAGCTGCCGATATCGCTAATTTTCTTCTCCTTTCTCTGTTATTATAATTATTTATAATTTTTATACACTCCGTTATCCAATTATAACATTTTTCTGATTGTGACATTGTACGATTATATTTATTTTGGAGCAAAACTGTCATAGAATTCCTCATCTGACGCTACTACATTTAAATCGCGTCGCTAAAAAACCCTTTTCATGTTTCAAGTTAGTCGCTAGCGACAATCCAGTCACGTAACTTCTTTATCGCTCAAAAGGAGCGATGAGCGACAGCATGAAAAGGTACTTTTAAAAGCGCAGAGTTGTGAATTAAGTCGTATCATGATGCTCGATTACATGATACTTCGATTGCGCAGTCGTACGTCGTTTATATGTGTAACCAATCACGTCCCAGCATCCGAGAATGAATGGATTGGACATTTTGTCTATTCGAATTTGTATTTTAAACAGCGGAAACTTTTTTTGGATTCAATTGGATGCAACTGGATTGAAAAACTGCGTTTCCTATTCAAAATTTCGAATTGTACAGTATTTACTATGGTTATAAACGCACTGAAAAAGCAGATATTATCTTTTTATTGAAAGGTATATATGCTCCATACAATTCCTATAAATGAATAAAAACGTATTTGGATTGAAAAGAATTCATTTTAACATTCATGAATCCGTATTTCTGAAAATCTGAATCCATTTTAATCCATTTCATTCTCAGATACTGGGGTTCTTCTTCTGAAGAACCACTCAACCGTTACGGACACGTTTCGGATCGGATGCTCGTTATCGTATATTTTTGAAAGTGTTTTCAGTTTTGACTTTGACCTGGTGTCCGGACTTCGTCATTTTCGTGTTTGCATCTTATTTTTGGAAAAGCGTTTGCTTTGACTACGAATTCAATTTTAAGACGTGATCTGGTTGTATCGTCCTGCTTTTTTGTTATTTGGAGGCGGGAGCCATAAATTAAAAAAGAAGAAGAAGAAGAAGAATCACGTTTGTGCATGAATAGTGAATAGCGATATTTACGAATGTTGTGCAATGGATTTGCGTATTTGTAGCATTTTATTGTTATCGAATGCACATTTGCATTTGATATCAATGTACTTATATCTAAAGAGATGCCGTAATAGAAGGAGATGGTGGATAAAACCTATAAATAGAACCAGAAATAATTTGGGATTCTTCAATAATCAATTCAAAGAAGCATATGAGACAGATCATGAAGAATTCTTTAATATGACAAGAATGACACCTGTTCAATATGATCATTTATGTCATCTTGTCAAGCCTTTTCTCACGAAAAAAAAGTATACGGAAACCTATCTCAGTGAATGAACGAGTAGCTGTGATTCTCTTGTAAGTAAACGAATTATTATCATATATCTTTGAGTTATATAATGTATTTTACATTATATATATTGAATGTTTGTTAATAATAATATTCTCATTGTTGTTTCACAGATTTCTTGCCCATGGTGACAGTGCCAGATCAAAATCATGGGATTTCCGAATTAACAAATCAACTATCTACAAAATCGTGTCTGAGACTTGCAATGCAATCTGGCAAGCTCTTAATGCAGAATATTTACCGAAACCTTCGCGAGAGATTTGGGGAAGAATAGTCGATGGATTTTGGAAAAAATGGAACTTTCCAAATTGTATAGGTACACTAGACGGAAAGCACATTACTATTCAAGCTCCACCAAACAGTAATTCTTTACATCACAATTATAAAGGATTTTTCAGCTTTATATTGATGGCAATTTGTGATGCCAATTATAAATTTATCTGGATTGATGTCGGTGACTATGGTAATTTGTATTCATAGTATGAATCTCAAGCATGTCATTCATATCATATTAAAGAACCCTTCATGATCTGCCTCATGTACTTCTTGTTATTGTATGTATTAAATATAACAATTAAAATTGTCTTTTACAGGATCCAACAGTGATGGTGGAGTGTGGGCGAACAGTAACCTTGGTCAAAGTTTGGAATCTAATACAGCAGATATTCCTCCTACAAAACTATTGCCTGGTACAACGAATATGCTGCCCTGTGCTTTGGTAGGAGACGAAGCATTTCTTCTCAAACCATATCTCATAAGGCCATATTCAAGAAGATCATTGACTAGTGATTCACAGCGAATTTTTAACTATCGCTTGTCTAGAGCAAGGCGAATAATTGAAAATACTTTCGGAATTTTCGTCTCTCGATGAAGAATTTTAAAGAAGTCAATTCAATGCAAGGAAGAAACTGCTCATAAAATTGTGCTTGCTCTTGTTGTTTTGCACAATTATATCATGTCTTCTTATGAACACAAGTATTGTTCATCATATTTTGTGGACCAGGAAAGTAATGGCACGGTTACTCCAGGGCAATGGCGCAATGAAGAATTAGGATCACATTTCAAGCATATTAGTTCAATAGGTTCGAACCGAGCTGCCTACACTACATACAAGTGTTCAGCGAGACACACTACGAAAATACTTTATGACAAACACTGGTGCAGTTGACTGGCAATTTGATTGCGCATTAAAGGGTTACAACATTAATATCCCTTTATAAGATATATAATATACAGGGAATGAAAGTAAAGCGGGGAGCACAGACTTTTGCATAACGCATAAACCATATACATAAAGAATTTCATTGGCCCATTTTCTTATGCATGAGTCAATGGACCAATCAAATTCTTTATGTATATGGTTTATGCGTTATGCAAAAGTCTGTGCTCCCCGCTTAACTCTTCACTTGTAACGAAGTTACAGTCACAAGTTACTTTTTTGGTAACTTTACTGGTAACTGTAAAGATAATATTTTTAGTTACATTTTTTGGATAACGGTAACGAAATTTACAATTACTTTTATCGTTACTTTGCATACCCTGCTCAAGAAAACAGATAGAATCCGATTGGAAAATTTTGAATCAAGTTGAATAGGGGATTTGGTTCCTGTTTTCTGTATTCATCATCGTGAAATCCAGATACAGAACCTTTATCACAGTATATGATAAAAAAGATATACGTAGTTAATGTGAATAGATCCTAAATTCTAGTTATACATTTCATATCAGGTTGAATATCGCAATTCACGTTGTTTAAGTACTAATATATATCTCAATGTCGAGATTTTAAAACCATCTGTTTTAATACAATATTTACTTAATCCTTCCTATCCAGATGTATATTAATAAAAAGTTATTTATTTATATCAGTACTTATCATATTAAATAGGAGATTTGGTTCAAATTTTTCGTATCTGTGATCGTACAAATCGGATATACAGAATTTTTCATAAGACTACGCCTATCATATTGAATAAGGAAATCCTAATTTATTTTTGTAAATGTCCTATAGTGTTTTAACTCGGTTTTTTAACGCTATAATACTGTATTTCATTGAATACTGATTCTCCGACGACTGTTATCATGTTAAATCCGAAAATCCTGTTTCATTCATGTTAGTATTCTATCGCGTTCGAACCCATTTCCCCAATAAACTAGCATTGTATTTGGTTGAATATTAATTGTCCAACTATTTCTATCATGTTGAATAAAAAAATTCGGATTTATTTATGTAAATATCCTATAATGTTCTAACTCGTTTTTCCAACCCTATAATACTGTATCTCATTGAATAGTAATTATCCGATGACTGTTATCATGTTAAATCAGAAAACCAGGATTTATTTATCAAATATCCTATCGCGTTCTAAATCATTTTCTCGATAAACTATTGGCGAATTCGACAGACTGCACTAGTGCGCACCAGTGCGCACTGAGTGCGAACTTTTTTAGTGCCACGCATTCGGAATGTGCGCACCGCATCAGTGCGCTTAGATTATCGTATTCGGCAAATGAAAACTGACCTAGTGTAGTGCTGAATTTGTATTCGGACCAACCAAAAGAACCGAACGAGTGCAAGAAATATTGCACTGACATTTTTGTCAGTGCAGTTTGGTGTTCGGACAAATAAAACTAGTTAGGCAGCAAAAAATTACAAAATGGATAATATTTTATTATTAATAATAATTATTATTAATTAAAAATTAAATTATTAATTAAATTATTATAATTAGTGCAGTTTTGCACTCGCACCGTGTCAGGGCAGCACTCTATCAGGACAGTACCGTGTCAGTGCATATGTATCGAATGTGCCATATAGGCCTGCAACTCATCCGTCAAAAGCCTTCTAAAAAGAGAGTAACTGGCAAGG